TATTTTTTGCAGGGTAAAGGAGGTGAATTATTATAGTCCGGAGTTCTGGGGAGAACTTATCTATACCTATATGAAGAATTGCTAGATCCGGACTAGGGGGTATTACAGAGCCCAAAATCTCTGAGATTAAGTTGAAGGTTATTCCAAAAAGATCTGATAGACTTACAGGCCCATATAATGTGGAGTAGAGATCCTGGTTCTCCACATAGTATCCAACACTGGGAGGATGTAGTTGGTTATATTCTGGATAGTTTAATTGGAGTTCGGTACCATTGATGTAGTAGTTTGACATAGGCCTCCCAATGAGTAGCACATCTGGAGGCTGTATAAGTGGTGATAAAGGTTCTTTTCCATGTCTCGTCAGGGACCTTTTTGGATAATAAAGCTTCCCAGTTGGATAGTGAGGTTGTTTTGAAAGTGTGTTTAGCCTCTAAGATAAGAGAGTAAAATAGGGATATTCCTTTGCCAGGGTAAAGGGATCTGTTTAAGAAATAGTAAACTGAGGCGGGAATTGTAGTGGAGTATGGTAGATTATTGGATTTCAGACAATGTGAAATTCTGAGATACGTAAATTTGTTTTTAAAGGATAGTTGGTATTTCTGTTGTATTTGATAGAAGGGGGCTAAAGTTCAGTTTTCAAAAAGATCTGAGATATGTGTAATATCACGTTGCTCCCAGGGATTTAAATCCAAGTCTGGAATTAAGGTGTTAAGAGCATTAAGGGGGATGTAGATCTTGTTATATTGAGGACGGGGGAGAGAGAGTAAGATTGACCACGCATCCAGTGCTGATTTGATGCAAGGGTGAGTGTGATGTGAAAGTTTTCTAGTGGTAGATGATAAAAGGAGGCATGATTGTGGTGTGCTGGGGTTAAAGATAGTAGATTCTAGGAGGGACCAATATTTTTGTATGGATGGATGCCACCAAGGTCTGATCTAGTAGAGTAGCTAGGTAGTATGTGTGTAGGTGGGGGAGGTTTGTTCCCCCTTTGTTGTAGGGTTGTATGAGTAAGTTGTTGGAGCATCTAGGTCTTCTATTTCAAAAGAGGTGAAGAGGTCAGTTGTTCTGCAGTTAAGGATGGGAGATTGATTGACGATAGAAAGGATTGTATATCCTCATGGGATAGTTGGGGGGTATTGTGGTCTTCTTTGAGGTTATAAAAGGATTCATAGAATTCAGCAAATGCATTTGCTATATTTAAGGGGTTGTAGAGAGGTTTATTGGATCTAGGGTGTTGGATTGATCTAATCTTAGTTTTGATTTGTTTTGATTTGTTGTTGTTTAACTGCTTGAGAGAGCTATATTCTTAAAGAGTAATATATAGCTCTAATTTTCCTCAAATTTAGGTCATATTTATACATGAGTAAAGATCTGAGTTTTTCCCTTTCTTTAAGGAGATCAACTGATGTTTGTTGTGTAGGATTGCTTTTGTTAGAAGTTCCTTTGTTTTTATAGAGTCTAGAATTTCTTCAATCTGTCATTGTCTGCGGGTAGAGACTTGAGAAGAGATTTTAATGAGCACTCCTCACATAAAAGCTTTGTATGTCGCACATAGTGTACTAGTGGAGATTTCAGGGGTTGTATGTGTTCGAAGAAGAGGTTGTGAGCCTCATCGATGATCTTCCTATGGTTGGGGTCTGCCAGGAGTTGGGAGTTAAGTCTCCATGGTTTAGGAGGCATTGATTTATCGTACGTAAGGAAGTATTAATTGGAGCGTGGTCAGACCAGGTGATGGAGCCTATCGAGGATGTTGTTATATGCTGAAGGGTCTACTTATCTGATAGGAAGAAGTTTATTCTGGAGTAGGAAAGTTGGGAAGGAGAATAGTATGAGTAGTCCCTTTCTGCTCCATGTTGGCATCTCCAAATGTTATATAGGTCATGTTCATGAAGGAATTGGTTGAGGCTTTGTTTTGGGGATCTCTTGGTAGAGGTGGTATCTAAGTGTACATTTCTCACTATGTTGACGTCTTCTCCTAATAGTACTTGTCCTTGTTTCATAGGAGCAAGTTTGATCAATAAGGTCTTGAAGAAGCGGAGTTGGTCTGAATTAGGGCCATATATGTTGACCAGAGTGAGAGGCATGTCTTCGAACTTGGCCACTAGAATATGGAAGCGTCCGCTTGGCTCTGTGTATTCTGCAATAAGTTTAAATTTGAGAGAGTCTCTTTGATGAGTGTCATCACCCCATTTGTTTTTTTTGTTATGGGATGCTAGGAATTTTGTTGAGAAGTTTTTAAGATTGTACGTTGGTGTTTTGGTTGTTGCAAAATGTGTCTCCTGCACAAAAACGACATCAGTTTGTTGGGCCATAATTTCTTTGGTTAGTAAGGAGTTGAGCCCCCTGGCATTGATTGACATTATATTAATCATAAGTGTGGCATGAAGCATTGTTATAGGCGGATGGTCATCCACAGTTGTGGAAAGATCTTGTTGTGCTGATAAAGCGGTCTGCTCGGATCTTCCTGGTTTCGAGGTAGGTTAGATAATAAGGCCTGATTAAGCCGTAGAGCATATGTTTCTTTGTTAAGGCACTGGTACAATGGGTAATTAGGGGAGTTAGCGTGTAGAGTATAGGTTTGTCATGGAGCCATAATGACTGGTTGTAGTAGGTTGTAAGTGCAATATGGGAACAAGTTGGTAAAAAAACTCTTGCGCAAAAGGCAAGAAACATGTGTAGTTTGAAAAACTACTGTCAAACCAGGAATTAGAACAGCAAATAGGAACCATGGATTTATAGTAAAGAGCAGCCATGTGAGCAAGGCTGCCATTTTTATCTTGAAGAAGAAAAGAAATAGCGAGTTTCACTCTGCAAGTGCTGGGGTATGGAGGGTAAGGCAGGTTAATTCCTTGTTGCATAGGAGGGTTCAGATCCAGTCTCCTTCCATACGATGGGGTTGAGTTTGAGTGCTATGTGTTTGGCGGTCTTCTACTGGGAGTATATTCTACTCTTTGAGAGTATTTATGATTTCATCTAGACCTCTGATAGCTAAAGTGTCAGGAATGGACTCGCCAATGGTGGTGGGACTCACCTACCTTGTGGGCTGTAGTACCAAGGCTGGCCAGCGGGTGCTCTCAGTAGCCAGAATATCACTCCTGCAATCAGGCCATCACCTGAGGCTGATTGCAGGAGGTGTATTTAAGCAGGACCAGGCCTGTGATCAGGGCCTTGGTGTATGTTTCCCATGAGCCCCTGTACCTGCATCCTGTCTGCTTCCTGCCTGAACCTGACTCTGAACGAACTCCGAACGAACTCCGTCTGTCCTGACCTCGGCTATTCCTGACTACTCTTCCGCCCGCTCCTGGTACCCTGTTTGCCCGTTAGCTACCGACCCGGCCCGCCTGACTACGTTGCGCTCCATATATTTATACATATATATATATATCAGTTTAAGTTTGGGTTTGTTTCACCTTGTTGTATGTATTTGTGTTAGTTTTGGGTTTGGTTTGTTGCACTGCGTTTATGTTTGTGTTGTCCTTAATAAATTATCTTGTTTACACGCTATACCTGAAGTCTGTGTTTCCCTGTGTCGGTCCACACACCTCTGGTCATTCCCGGAGCCCTGACATTACACCAAGGCCATTCCTGACCAGAAGTGGCTGCACAGGGAAGCCATCTTGGCTTGTTGTTGGGAAGGATGCATCCTGAGGAGGTTATATACTTGTATTTGCTAGTCTTAGATGACAGAGAATATGCCTATCAGACTCTGCAGGAGCATACCAGGGATCAGCTGCTAGAGTGCATATGGGTCACTCATTCCCTAGTAGATCAGGGCACAGAGTTCTCTGAGGTGCAACCATTGATTCAGGCTTGTGCTGAGTTGGCTTCCTCTAATACCCCTGAAAGCAGGGATGACTTTCTTCCACCATTCAGTACTGATCAAATAGAATCACTGGTATGGTTGTTGGAGGATGATCCGGATTGCTTCTGGGAACATTATTCAGCATGTTCACCACATCTGCTAGTGGAGTGTATAAACGCAGTGCAGTCTTTGGTCAGACAGGCTATGTGTAAGCTGAGTTTTGTTCAACCAATACTACAGTCCTGGTCAGACTTGTTACACCCAGCCTCAGTCAGCTTGCAACAAACCCGTCCTGCTTCTAATCATTCCTCTGCTCAAAGCTCTATTCCTGCATTCCCGACAGCATGCCCAGTGACAGCCCAATATACCCTGCTATCTACCACATGTCAGTACCCTGTTCCCACTCGCTGCACCTATCCTGCCTTTAACCCTGTAAAAAAGGCCTCTGTAGCAACTATTCCCTCCTCTGTTCCACCCTCCAGCTCTTCTCTGTCCCCAGCTACTCCATCCATTTACAGACCTGCATTTACTTGCAGTGCCCCAGTAACTAAATCCAAGAAGAAGCGAAAATTCTTTCCAACCAATACCATCCTACCAGTATCCAAACCGGTCAGCCTGCTGTCTGAGAACCCGCCTTCCATTGTTCAGCCTGATGCCCTGATCCAGTGTACGCTACCCAGCCTGATGACCCGATCCGGCCTGATGACCCGATCCGGCCTGACGATCCAATCCGGCCTGATGACCCGGTGTTCGTGATCCAGCCTGATGACCCGATCCAGCCTGATGATCCTACCCAGCCTAATGATCCTATCCAGCCTGATGGCCTGGTGCCTGCTACCCAGTCTGATGGCCCAATCCAGCCTGATGGCCCGATCCAGCCTGATGGCCTGATCCAGCCTGATGACCAGGTGTTCATGATCCAGCCTGATGACCCAATCCAGCCTGATGACCCGATCCAGCCTGATGACCCGAACCAGCCTGATGACCCGATGTTCGTGATCCAGCCTGATGACCCAATCCAGCCTGATGACCCGGTGTTCGTGATCCAGCCTGATGACCCGATCCAGCCTGATGATCCTACCCAGCCTGATGATCCTATCCAGCATGATGACCTGGTGCCCGCTACCCAGCCTGATGGCCCAATCCAGCCTGATGACCCGGTGTTCGTGATCCAGCCTGATGATCCGATCCAGCCTGATGACCCGGTCGGGCCTGGTGCCTCGGTGCCCGTGGTCTGGCCTGGTGCCTCGGTGCCAATGGTCCGGCCTGGTGCCTCAGTGCCCGCTGTTCTACCAGATGACTCGGTGCCCGCTGTCGAGCTTGGTGACTCTGTGTCCGCTGTCGTGCCAGATGACTCGGTGCCCGCAGTCGTGCCAGATGACTTGGTGCCTGCTGTTGTGCCAGATGACTCGGTGCCCGCAGTCGTGCCAGATGACTCAGTGCCCGCTGTCCTGCCAGATGACTCGGTGCCCACTGTCGAGCTTGGTGACTCGGTGCCCGCTGTCGAGCTTGGTGACTCGGTGCCCGCTGTCCTGCCAGATGACTCGGTGCCCACTGTCGAGCTTGGTGACTTGGTGCCCGCTGTAGAGCTTGGTGACTCGGTGCCCGCTGTCGTGCCAGATGACTCGGTGCCCACTGTCGTGCCAGATGACTCGGTGCCCGCTGTCGAGCTTGGTGACTCGGTGCCTGCTGTCGAGCTTGGTGACTCGGTGCCCGCTGTCGTGCCAGATGACTCGGTGCCCGCTGTCGAGCTTGGTGACTCGGTGCCCGCTGTCGAGCTTGGTGACTCGGTGCCCACTGTCGTGCCAGGTGACTCGGTGCCCACTGTCGAGCTTGGTGACTCGGTGCCCGCTGTAGAGCTTGGTGACTCGGTGCCCGCTGTAGAGCTTGGTGACTCGGTGCCCGCTGTCGTGCCAGATGACTCGGTGCCCACTGTCATGCCAGATGACTCGGTGCCCGCTGTAGAGCTTGGTGACTCGGTGCCCGCTGTCGTGCCAGATGACTCGGTGCCCACTGTCGTGCCAGATGACTCGGTGCCCGCTGTCGAGCTTGGTGACTCGGTGCCCGCTGTCGAGCTTGGTGACTCGGTGCCCGCTGTCGTGCCAGGTGACTCGGTGCCCACTGTCGAGCTTGGTGACCTGGTGCCCGCTGTTCTGCCCAATGACTCGGTGCCCACTGCCTCACCTGATGATCCGGTGCCCGCTGCCTCGCCTGATGGCCCGGTGCCCGCTGCTCCGCCTGATGTGCCTCTGCCTGCTGCCCAGCCTGATGTGCCTCTGTCCGCTGCCAATCCTGATGTGCCTCTGTCCGCTGTCCAGCCTGATGTGCCTCTGTCCGCTGCCCAGCCTGATGTGCCTCCGCCCAGCTGCTGCCCAGCCTGATGTGCCAGCCCCTGATATCTAGCCAGTTACCTGACGCAGGCGGTGGAACATTTTGCCCACTAAGGACTGTTTGGAGCGTCCTGAGGCCGCAGCTTGAGAGGGGGGTACTGTCAGGAATGGACACGCCAATGGTGGTGGGACTCACCTGCCTTGTGGGCTGCAGTACCAAGGCTGGTCAGCGGGTGCTCTCAGCAGCCATAATCTCACTCCTGCAATCAGGCCATCACCTGAGGCTGATTGCAGGATGTGATATTTAAGCAGGACCAGGCCTGTGATCAGGGCCTTGGTGTATGTTTCCCATGACCTCGGCTATTCCTGACCACTCTTCCGCTCGCTCCTGGTACCCTGTTTGCCCATTAGCTACCGACCCGGCCCGCCTGACTACGTTGTGCTCCATATATATATACATATTTGGATATATATATATATATATATAAGATATATATATATATCAGTTTAGGTTTGGGTTTGTTTCACCTTGTTGTATATGTATTGTGTTAGTTTTGGGTTTGGTTTGTTGCACTGCATTTATGTTTGTGTTGTCCTTAATAAATTATCTTGTTTACACGCTATACCTGAAGTCTGTGTTTCCCTGTGTCGGTCCACACACCTCTGGTCATTCCCGGAGCCCTAACAGAAAGTTCTTCCGTGGTGTTTGATAAGCTTGGTATGGAATCCCCACTTGGTAGGGAATGCCGTGGTTTCTTAGAGCTTTGGAAATGGATATCAGCTTTTTTTGAGTGAGTGGGGTTTCTTTGGATAAGTCGGCAAAAAGCTTAATACCTGTGTGTGAGGCTGGTAGTGCTGCAGGGTTTCTAGCAGCTAGCATAAGCTTTTCTTTAATTTGGTAGAAGTGAGCCCTGATTGATTTAGTCGTGGACCTAATCGTCCAGTGCTTATCTGTTCCTGTCCTAATTTATGATGCTGGCCAGCTTCTGGAATGTGCGCACATGAAGAAACTCACACTGACACGTTTGGTCTGTGAAAACTTCTCTCTCTAATTTATTGAAATGAAACCGTGAGTTTATATATGAAAAATGATGTGAACATCACGTGATAACAGCATAAGCATTATATTAGTCTTTGATTGGTCACTTTACACGAAAACAATCTCCGTCATGGTATAGGTGTGATCTTCTTCAGTCTTATCTTAAAAAGAAAAAAACATTCTTTTGTCTTCCAAATCACACGATGGGAGGGGGTCTGTGCCTGTGAGCAAACATTTCTTAAGCAAGGATTTCTCAAAGTACCACAAAGCCCAGCAGGCAGAAAATATTCACACAACATATATATTCATGCTAAACATTTATAAATATGTGGAAAGAAATAGTATTAAAGTATAAAAGTAAATATGTAAAAAGATGTGTATAAAAAAAAAGTGTATATATATATATATATTTCAATAGGAAATGAAATAGGAATTTTACCAAATCCATCACATGATAAGGACATCTCTCGAAGTAAAGGCTGGTAGAAATGATGGTTTCGGGATTCTATGTGCTCTGTCAATAGCTGCTTCCATAGGGGTAATGGATGGGATCAAGATTTGCATAAATTGCTGTATGTATGGTAGAAGGGCATCTGTCGTTATAGATTCTGGGATCCCTCTAATTTTTATGTTATTTCTCCTTGATCGGTCTTCAAGGTCAGCTATTTTACTTTTTAGCATGTTGATTTCAGATTTTTGATCTGCGTATGCGTCCACTACAGTATTGTGTGCTGTGAATATGGCTGACATCTGATTTTCAACATGGTGTAACCTTTGAAACGGCAACAAGAAAAACTAAATTCAGCGAGCACTTAAATTCAAAATAACAGCTAGAACACTAAAAAGGGAAACCATAAAACCTTCTATAAAACCATATAAAAAAATGTAGTGCAGCGCTAAATCTACGTGACCTAAATCATTAATACCAGTATAAACACAATATGAAACGCCATAAAAAGAATAATTCTGAATAACGTCCGTACGACCATATATCAAAGTGGTAAATGTCACACAGTGGTAAGAATTATTCCAATATTGAAATTCAACAGGTGTATTAATAGGTGACTTCTCTTAATCTTAGTAGTAACTGTAGTCCGGTGACGTGCGAAAAGAAATGATAAAATTGAACACTCACCAGAGGCGCAATATAAATGCGCATATAAATCAGATAAGCCCCAGGTTCCCTCAATTCTAGAAAAAGATGCAGCCTGGAATGGAACAACCTCTTCTATAACTTCTAGAGGTCCCCTTTAGGTCTGTGGTGAGGGTCTGCAACAGATGTCTCTCTTCTGGGCTCTGGGATGGTCACCTTGGGTTCCAGCTAGTAACAAAGGTGGTCGCCGGACCTCCGTGATCCGGCGTCGTGACGTCTCAGCATGCGGGGCCTGTAAATAGATGTAAATAGATCATGGAGCTTCAAATTGTGGCTGCTTTTATCGTTCTTTTGCAAGATTTCCCTGACCTTGTTGGATGGATAGCAACATATATATGCTGGTCTGCAGAGCCTCTCAGCTCTTGACCGAAATTTGACCCCTCTGACTATTACAACTGGGCTGCTACTCTGCTCATATCAATTGGAGTCCAGCTCCCCTTAGCTGCCTAGAAACATTAGAAAAATACCAAAAAAAATTATATATATGAATATATATATATACTGTATATATATATATATTTATTGTATTTTTAATTTTTCTAATGTTTCTAGGCAGCTATGGGGAGCTAGATTCCAATTGATAGAGGCAGAGTAGCAGCCCAGGTGTAATAGTCAGAGGGGTCAAATTTCAGTCAAGAGCTGAGAGGCTCGGGCACTGCCCGAGGGCCCGGGTCAGTAAGGGGCCCCATGAGATGCCCCTGGTATCTTTCATAGGCTTTTTTGGGTGTGGTTTGAGTGTAGGTGAGGACACAGGGGCCCCATGATCCCCTATTGCCTGGGGGCCCCATGAGTTGTCAGTCCATCCCTGGGCTGGTCTGTACTAGAGGATCCTGGCCAATCTCCAACAGGAGGCTTGGCATGGGGCCAGGACAGCCTTTAAGAGTAACCGAGTCTGTTCAGCAGCAGGAAAGTTGACAAGAGAGTTTGGGTGGAAGATGAGGAAGTGAGACTGGAGAGCAGGAGCCTGGGAGGGGGCCCAGGCAGAGGATCTTGGAAGGAGGAAAGCTCAGGAATCAACCAGCCCCCAGAGTGAGGACCAACTGTGCAGCAGGGAAGGAGCGGCTCAGCTAGAAGGCCTGGTAGCAGCCATCAACCCACCAGCAGCACAGGAGAAGGGACTGAGAGAGTAAACGTGCACCACCTGGGCCAGTAAGGGGAAAGAGGCACTCTGGTGGGAAACTGGATTACCTTTTTACCCGGGACTGTTCACCCAGCAGAGCAGTGGCAGGCACCGGATCCCCTGCCCAGGGAAACACCCAGTACAGCTGGATGAGGAGAAGATTCATCTGGGGCGGTACTATAGGAGATGCTGGCTAGCTCTCCAAAAGAGACTTTTTGCTGTAAAGACTTGTACATAGTTGCAAAGGAGCTTGTCCTCTGTTGTCCAGTGACTCTTAAGGGGGTAGTGCTACATACTATATATATATATATATATATATATATATATACACCTGTATATACACAATTGTTTCTTGATCACATGACCATCCACATCAACCCAGCTGTGCCATCCTACTCAGCCCCTCTCCCTACATTACTAGAAAAACTCCACAGAGACACTGCCAATTAGTCCTGTCACATATAACCGCTCATTTTTGAAGTGGATATTTCACCTCGGATCATGGTTACCTAATGGTCTAAATGAGGGGTTTACGTATCTCCCCTGTATGTGTGATCAATTTTTTGGCATGCGTTATCCATGAAACAGTGTACAATAATTGTCAGGGTTGAATGAGCGGTTATATGTGACAGGACTAATTGGCAGAGCCTCTGTAGGGTTTTTTTGAAATGTAATCCTGGCAGAGCCTTTGTTTTATAATGTAAGCTTACTCAGGATCATACCCATATTCCATATCATATTCCTGTGTAAACTGCTTTCAAATTTTTCCCCACAAGAAGGTGATGTTTAAACAATTGGACGGCATTCACTGAGCATGTGCACCACCCAGGAAGGGAAATGACTTGGCAGCCTTTTTTTGTTACATCTTGAAGTAAATGGGGAAGGACAGCCATTTTGTTGGTTTTTCTGACCATGTGACGATAGCAGACACATGGTAATGGACACCAAAACATTAATCTGTTGCTGCTTTATATTCACTGTACACATTAATAGCACCCCTGATGAAACTCTTTGTTTTAAGGAATGAAACATGTTGGGCTATTTTTTGTTTTATTTTTGAACACCTTGACATGTTTTTTCTGGTGTTAGTGGGCACAAGACTTTTTGAAGGGGAAATTTGGACAAGCTCATTTCTCCTTACCAATGAGTCTCTACTTGGTCATATAGGGAAGTAAGCGCTAGTCCATACTGGGCAAGCGTCTGGGTCAGTAGCATGCCTGGCTTTAAGTAGCAGTTAAGCCTTGAAGATCTTCACTGTACCCTGCGGATGAGAGTCAAAGTCCCATATCTAGATTATACAGTACATGTGATTTCCCTGTCCTTTGT